TTATTATACAGTTTATAAATGTAGATATGTTTTCTTTCTCCCAGTGAAACCCTGATCTTGTCTCTCTCCTGTTAGACTTGGTGCTATTTTAGCTGTTCAGATAATAAAACGTTCGGCTCGTTCAGGAGATGGGCGCTGTGACTTTTAGTCTTTGTAACTTTGATACTTTTCAGAAAAATAAACTTTATTAACAAATAACTTCATCGAAAAACATTAAGACTTTTGTTCTCTTTGAAATCTGCTTCAGCTCAGTTTTTAGCTTCAATTCTGATGCTTTTAGCTTTTAGCCAGCCTTTAGCTACTTTAACTGACCTTTTGCTCTCACAGTTTATCACCTTTAGCTTCAAGTTAGCATGTTACTACTTTTAGTTTTTATATAGCAATTTGCTACTTTTTCTTTTTTTGGTTAGTGCTTTGCTACTTTGCTACTTTTTTTACCTTTTGCTTTTAGCTACTTTTTGGTTACTTTTAATTTTTAGCTATACTTTTGCTACTTTATCATTTAGCTAGGTCTTTTTTTTCAGATACAATTTTGTCATTTTGAATTTTAGGTAGCCTTTTGCAGCTTTTAGTTTTTAGCTAGTGTTTTGCTACTTTAAGCTAGCTTCTTACTACCTTTAGATTTTAGCTAGCTTGWGGTTACTTTCATTTTGAAGTAAACTTTTGCTAATTTAGCTTTTAGCGAGTTGCTTTTGCTTTAGCTAACCTATCTTCTAGCTTTTGTTCTGCTACATTTAGGGTTAGCACTTTGCTCCTTTTAGTTTTTAGATGTTGTTCGGCTCCTATTAGCATCTGGCTGCTTCAGTTTAGCTTTTTCTGAGGATTTATTCGGCGCTCGCGCTACGTTTTGGCTGAAAGCATCTAAATCCTCTCCAGAGTTGGATTTTCAGGACGTGGCTCCTTCAGCTGTCTTCAGCTATGTTTCGGCTGATCTCTACGTGTCGTCGTGTTTTCCCTCAGAGGACCTCGGCCTGCTCTTCGGTAAAGCTCAGAGTTTTGTTAAGGAGAACCTGGAGGACGAGGACTGAAAGGAGCGGCTGGTCTCRGCGGACAGGTGGGGGTAAACTGAGACCCGTACCACCCAGGAGAGGATGAACTTGAGACGTGGTCCTCACCGTCCTGTGAAGGTGGAGGTCAGCAGACGAACACCCGGCCCGCAGGAGGGACCGGCCCTGATTCCCCTCTAATGAAACGAAGCCTCCAGGAGGCCGGGTCGGTCTCAATTAGGACTCATAAAATACAATCAGTAGCTGGAAACGCCGGGCTCGGCTGGGTGGGACGGAACAGAGTGGATCTTTGTGCCGAGGGGGGGCGGGGGGCTTTACTGAAGCATGAGACAGACACACCTTGTTCAGACGAAGACTTGAATCTTTCAATCAACTTCAAAACAGAAACCATTCAACTCGATGACTCAAGAAACAGGAAGTAATTAAAGATTCACACAGGTGGAGTTTACACCTGAGCTTTAATACTTAGACATTAAATCAGGATATCTGTGTTTTTATGTCGAAGTCGTAATGTTGGGGTTAAAGTTAAGTAAAGTCAAGATTAAAGTTGTTTTTGAGGATAAAAGGGGAATAAAAAAACAGCACGGTTATAAAAACTTATGATAAAACAGCTCTGGGTATGTTTAAAAAAACACACTTGAGCTGTTTTTAGTTTCTTATTTATTAACAAAAATACAAACGTAGAAAAACTCGTTCATGTTTGAGTTTTTAAAGTGACGTAGCTGTGTCGACATTTTGTTCAAAAATACATAAAGCTGTGGATTAGGGTTGGGAAAATCCATATTGTTTGCCATTACTGGTCAGAAATTAATATTTCATTGCAGCAAAGAGCTAATGCTTTTTTTTTTTTTTTTTTTGAGAAAAAGAAGAAAA